GATTCTGCGCTGTTCAGTTTTGCAGGTGACATTTCAGAACCTTGAAAGATGGTCATGCTTAGACAGGCAGAAAGAAGGGATGTGCAGAGATGGAAAAGGACCGCGTCACTCTGGAGACCAGAAGGTAGCCAACACAATTTAGCGGAAGCACGGGCAGTGTGAAGCGGAGAGCTGGGAAATTTCAAGTGTGAGCTGTAAATTCACATGGAGTGCTTTGGTTTGTATCATTGGGAAGTAGGAGGAGTGACGGAAGGCTTTGGATCAAACAGGCAGTGTGATCAGAGCCATGCTGTGGGAAGATTAATCTTGGAGCCCGAGGGAAGGATTAGAGTGGCAGATTGCTGGGAGGAAAGGAAGCATGGCTGCTCTTGCAACAGAGAGGATTCGGTGAGGGCTCAAACTGAGTGTAGCAGCTTCTGCACAGGGAGGGGCGGGAGCCCGGCACACCTGGCGGAAGCAGATAGCCTTTGCTGCAGTGCCTTACGCCTCCAGCTGTTGCCTCTGTAAATCACCTGCACATGTCTCAGTTTTCAAACAGAGAGAAATAGGACAACTCTGACTCAGTATCCTTTTTATTTCTGTCTATTCATCCCTTTGTGAAATTCTGACTTTATAACTTCAGGATGTTCACTCTGCTTGATTAATGACATGGGAAACTTTTCATGTATGGAGGACGTGTTACTCTTTCAATTTTCCTTAACTTTGGCTCTCAGTTGTTTCTCTTCCTTCTCTGTGTTATTTTGCCATCTGTGATATGGTGGTCCCACAGGCTAATTGTCCCTTTCTCTCTCTGTGTCAGAGTACAATAGGTTTTAGTGTGTCATTCCATCTAATTCATGAGGCTGTACATGTCAAAGCCCAGTGCATCATGGAGTGTTTCTGCCTGTGAGTCACAAGATGTTAGCTCATACACAGAGATGGGGAAGGAAGGGCAGTCTAGGGGTTAGAACTAGCACAAGATTCAGTGATTGTCCTCTGAACCTGAGACTCTCCACACTGCTGACCAGTGCGTCTCTACAGACAGACTCCTCTAAGGGGTTTTCACTCACAGCTGGAAACCCTTCTTCTCTATCCAGCATCTAAGCTGCTTGGAGATCAGATATTAGGGACCAGGTAGGGAACATTCGATGTCCAGCTGTAGTTAGTGTTGCCTTTATAATCCCACAGCCTATAGAGTTAAAAATGTACATCCCACAGCCTATAGAGTTAAAGATATACCTACATGGTAGCAGGGGGTGGGGGGTGTTTCACGAGGTCCCCACAGTTGTATGAATAAACATGTTCATTTTACAAATGCCACAAGATGATCTAAGTTTAAAAATTAACTTCTTAAAGTGGACTGGTACATTTTCTCCTAAAATACATCATTGCTAGCGGCTCTAATGGACCCAGTCAGCCGAGTCTGTATTTCCATTACTCAGCACTCAGTATCCCAAGACCACTGGGGTCTCCAGTATAGCCAACCAGCCAATTGTACCCTATTTCTCATCCCTCCTAGCTTTTCAAGCCAATGTCCAATCTTTGAAGTGTCTCTAAAACCTCCCATCAAGTCTCTCTCCTCAGGGTCATCATCGTCTACGATTTGCATTGCTAATTCCAAAATAATGTTATCGTATGGAATCTCAAATATATCTTTCTCATTCTTCCCTTCCTTTTGCTTCCCCCACCCCGTATTTACTTATTCGTCTTTCCGGGCTACACGCTATGTTATACCATGTCTAACCCATGTGAATGGAATGCTACACATCTCTGGATGACCAGAGATGAGAAAAACAGAACCAAAACCAATCCAGTCTCACTATATTGCTAGACCTACCTAAATGTCTCAGTGGCTCCAGCTCTGTGTGAACACATTCGAATTCTTGGGTTGCATTATTTTCATGTTGGCTAAAATTATCTGAAATTGAATATGTGCCATCGACTATAGAATTGTTTTAAAATACTTTTGCCTTAAAACATGGCAGAGTGTTACCACATTCCATGGCTTCTCTACAAGTCCCCTCACAAAAGCCTCCTTGCCTTGGCTGTGACTCAGTGAATATAGTGCATTTCTCAGTTTGTCTTTCCTATTTACTTTTACCTCTGCGACCCTGGTAACAATCTGCTTGTCCTCCGCAACGAAACTGTTCCCTTCTGAAGACACAAACCCACTTTTCCTCAGTAGACTTAGTAATTTGTTTTATTACCCTTCTTACTTGAACGTTTAGCAGCCATACCAGGTAGTTTATGTCAACATGACACATGCTAAAGACACATGCTAACGCAAGCAGGACCCCCCCACACACACACACGGCCTCTACACCAGCTCCTTTCTCCAGGTGCATGCTCTGTTTGAGTTCCTTTCCTGACTTCTTTAGCTATGATGTAGAAGCATAAGTCGAATAAACCCTCTCCTCCCCAAGTTGCTTTGGGTTTCATTAGAGGAATAATAACCCTAACTAAGACAGTAGCTTTTTAATTCATTTTTTCATATCCTTTTTTTATGAAAACCTTCTCTTCTTTGGCATTTTGAGGTAGTCTGCAGTATCAGTTACTTTTCTGTTGCAGTAATTAAACACCGCCACAAAGGCAGCCCACAGAGGGTTGAGCATCCATGATGGTGGGGAAGCAGTAGGCACGGTGATGGCAATGAAAACCGAGGACTCAGATCTCAAACTGTAAGCAGGAAGCGGAGAGCAACCTGGGCCTGATACGAGGTTTTTGACACCGCACTCCCCTCCTCTCCAGCTACATGCTTCCTTCAGCAAGACCCCATCTCCTTCACCTCCCTAAACAGCAGCGCCAACTCATAACCACGTATTCAAAAGGGAAGAGCCTATGGGGAACTCTGGGCTTTTTGCTCATTTGGTTTTGGCTTTTTGACACAGGGTTTCTTTTTTGTAGTCCTGGCTATCCATTTATTTTACATCCTGACTGCAGCTTCCCTTTCTTCCTATATGTCCCTCTACCTTCCCCACCCCCCCATCCACCCCTCCTCCATCTCCTTTCAGAAAGGGGCCTGCCTCCCATGGGCATAGTACAAAGCATCAGGCTGAGGTAAGAACAAGCTCCTACCCCTGCATCAAGGCTGGATAAGGCAACCCAGCATGAGGAATAGGTTTCCAAAACCCAGCTCAAGTGCCCTAGACAGATGCTGATCCAACAGTTAGGAGCCCCGCAAACAGACCAGGCTACATAACTGTCACACGTGCAGAGGGTCTTTGTTGGTCCCACTCAGGCTCCCTAGCTGTCGGTCCAGAGTCCATTAGCTCCCATGAGCTCAGGTTAGCTGTCTCTGTGGGTTCCCTGTCATGACCTTAACGCTGGCCCCAGGCTCTTATGCCCCTTTCTCCTGGTCTTCGACAGAACTCTTCAAGCTTGGCCTGTGCTTGGCTGTGGATTTCTGCATTCGCTTCCACTGGATGAAGAAGGCTCCATGATGACAATTAGGCTAGTCACCGATCTGAATGCAGGAGATGGCCAGTTCATGCACCATCTCCATTATTGCTAAGAGCCTTAGCTGGGGTCATCCTTGTGGATTCCTGGGAGTTTTTCTGACAACAGGTTTCTCCCTAACCCCCAAATGCATCCCACACCATCAAGTCATCTCTCATTACTCGGTTCCTCAGTCCTGCCAGATCCCTCATATCCTACCCCACCCCACCCTGCCCCCAGTTTACCCAGGAGATCTCTTCTATTTCCCCTTCCAAGGGAAGTGTATGTATCCTCTTTGGTCCTTGCGTGTTATCTAGCCTTTCTAAGGCGGTGAAGTATAGCCTGGTTATTCTTTACAGCTAATATACACTTATGAGTAGAGTACGTACCATATTTGTCTTTTCTGGGTCTGATTTACCTTAATGTGATTTTTTTTTCTAGTTCCATCCAATTATCTGCACATTTCATGATGTCATTTTTTTTTTCTGCTGAGTAATACTCTATTGAGTAAAGGTGCCATATTTTCTTTAGCCAGTCTTTAGCTGAGGGGCATCTGTGTTGTCTCCAGGTTCTGGCTATTATGAGTAATGCTGCTATGAATATAGTTAAGCAAATGTCCTTGTAGGATAAGTGTTCGTCCTTTGGGTATATGCCTAAGAGTTATATTGCTGGATTTTGAGGTAGATTGATTGCCACTTTTCTGAGAAACCATCATACTGATTTGTACAAATTTGCACTCCAACCAGCAATGGAGGTATATTCCCCTGATTCCATATCTTCTCCAGCACAAATTATCATCAGTATTTTTGATCTTAACCATTCTGACTAATGTAATATGGTATCTCAGAGTTGTTTTGATTTGCATCTTTCTGATGGCCAAGGATGTTGAGCATTTCCTTCTGGCCATTTAAGATTCTTCTGTGGGATTTGAGAATTCTGTTTGGATTTGTAGCTCCTTTGTATGTTTGTTTTTTCAAGGCAGGATTTCTCTGTGTAGCTTTGGAACTATACCAGCTCTGTAGGCCAGGCTGGCCTTGAACTCATGGAGATTGGCCTGCCTCTGCCTCCTAAGTGCTGGGAATGAAGGCATGTGCCACTACCACCCAGCTTTGTATCCAAATTTTAAATTGGATTAGTTGGTATTTTGATGTCTAATTTCTTGAGTTCTTTATATATTTTGGAGATCAGTCCACTATCCAGTGTGGGGTTGGTAAAGTTCTTTTACCATTCTGTAGTCTGCTGTTTTGTCTTCTTGCCTGTGTCCTTTTCCTAACAGAAACTTCTCAGTTTCAGGAGGTCCCATTTAATAATCAATGCTCTCAGTGTCTTTGCTACTGGTGTTCTATGAAGGAAGTAGTCTCTTGTGGCAATGTGTTCAATGGTACTTCCCACTTTCTCTTCAATCAGGTTCCGTGTTAAGTGGATTTATATTGAAGTCTCAATCCATCTGAACTTGAGTTTTGTGCATGGGGATAGACATGGATTATTTGCATTCTTTTACATCCAGTTATGCCAACACCATTTGTTGAAGATGCTTTCTTTTTTCCGTTGAATAATTTTAGCTTCTTTGCCAAAAAAATAAAAATAAAAATAAGGAATGCTTCTCGATTTGCATGTCATCCTTGCACAGGGCCCATGTTAATCTTCTCTGTATTGTTCCAGTTTGAGTACATGTTCCGCTGAAGCACAGCAGAAGACATTCTGCTCTGCTGTCTCATGGCCTTGCCTAAATGAGACTGGCCCATCTGAGAGTTCTCTTCTGGTGGGCTGACATCTGGGACGTCAGTTGGCAGCAGCTGCTCCTCTGACATGGCCACCAGCAGGCGGGCAATGGGGAGGATTATGAGGTGGGCAGAGTTGGGTAGCGGAGTGGGTCTTAGGGGAACAGAACCAGTGGCAACAACATTACTTCCTAACTCCATCCAGAGCAGAACTTTCAGATGACCTTACAGTTCATTCTTGACTACCCAGATGAAAATCGTGCATACCTCATCACATTGCCGATGATCCCTTTTTTAACTGAGTGACTTCATATGCATTTTCCTACTGCTTTGATAAGAACATTGTGGCACATCCAGTTTATAGAAAGCCGTGTTTATTTGGGCTTACAGTTCTAGAGGGATAAGAGTCCCACGTCAAGGTTTTGAAGCATGGCAGCCGACAGGCTTAGTGGCTGGAGCAACAAGTTGAGAGCTCACATGTCTATTCGCAAGCAGGAAGGGGAGCTTGAGGAGTAATTGCAACAGTACCAAGGCTTTCCACTCTCAAAGGTTGCTTCTCTCAAGGCCATACCCCAGAGCTACACAAACAGCTCCTTCAGTAGGGGCTTAGTATGCAAATACCGGAATTTATGGCAACATTCTCATTCATATCACCAGAATGTTTAGATAACTAGCTGGGCCTGGTGGTGCAGGCCTTTAACTCCAGTACTTGGGAGGCAGAGGCAGGCAGATTTCATTGTCTTTGAGGTCAGCCTGGTTTATATAGTGAGTTCCAGAACAGCCAGGGCTACATAGAAACATGCACTCTGTGTCAAAAAAAAACAAAAACAAAAAAAAAAAAAAACAACAAAAAAAAAAACAAAAACAAACAAAAAAAAAACAAAAAAACAAAACAAAACAAAAAAACCCAGGTGGGGGGGAAGGTATAATTATAATTTTTGTTTCCCTTGTGAAAATTAGATTCTATGACAGGTTTACTACTTAGAATAATATGAGTAATAGTTTCTCAGTTCATTGATCAACATTGTGTTCTGTGTAGTTAACAAGCACTGAAATCTTTATAATTGACTTTAATCCTGGGAACTCACTAAACCAGCGTGTGTGCCTACAACTGGCACTGAGAGATGTGTGATGGCAGGAGGCAAGCCAAGAAGGTAGACAGGGAGGGGATGAGAGAGGGGCAGAAAGAGTTGGAAGCATCGGAGAGTTTTCTGTTTCCTGTTATAGAGGACCAGATACTTAGATGGGCAAATGACCACATGAGTAAGTGCTGACATTGTACTCCGATTTTAGTGCACATATCTAGTAGTTTTTCATAAAAGATCGTTTTTTGGGGGAGGAAGACTTCATGTCCGGGAACATATTTTACCGTAGCAGACAAGCTGAGTGTCCCTTTAGGAGTCTTAAAGTCTGATATTAAATAGACTCAAGTTTAATGAATGATGTCAAACAGGATTGAAATGCAGAGGCGCCCTCTGGTGGTTTAATTTATGCACCTGGGGAAAAATACAGAGCAAACCCTGCCAGCAGGGGAGGCAGAAGGAGGTCTTCCTGGAGTAGCTTTAACATCTGTGCCAAGGTTCTCCACGAACTGGCCACTTGTGGAAACTTAGAATTCTCTTATGGATACAATATACTTAAGGACCGTGCTTTATGGGTTACCAATAATCTTTCATTCCTACATCAATTTCTTTTTGCACTGCTATAATTTTCCCAACTTTTAAAAGTGTTACGGTTTTAACTTTTGAAACATTTCTGTACTGGACTTCTGAATTTATTTGCACTTTGAAGTTGGCCATAGTTTCTACATTACTTGCACAGCACTAATAACATAGTTCTTGGACAGGATTCTGTAATCGTGTAATTATATTTCATTCGTGTTTAAAAATGTGGTTTTCTTCATTTTTCTCTTTGTAGGTTTGTAGACCAGGCTAGCCTTGAACTCAGAGATATCTGCCTGCCTCTGCCTCCCCAGTGGGATTAAAGGCGTGTGCCACCACCGCCCAGCTTAAAAACGCTTTTCACACATTATATTTGATCATATTCTTTTCCCTCCTGCAGCTCCTCCCAGAATCTACCCGACTTCCTTACCTTCTCTTCTTCGTTCATCCCACACACCACTCTGCAGAAAAGGGGAAAACAGCAAAATGATTTTTTTTTTTTTTTTGAGAATTACACACCAGTGCCCCAGTTGTCATTTACCTTCTTCCAGTTCTGTCCAGGTCCTTCTCACTCCTGAAATTCACAGCTTCTCTCTCTTTTTTTTTTAAATTTATGATTCTCTCATATTACATCCCGAAGGAGTTTCCTCTCTTTCTGCCCCTCCCCTCATCTCCCACAACATCCCATCTCAAGTTGCAATAAGACTGGGCGTATCCCTCATGTTAAGGCTGGATGAGGCAACCCAGGACAAGGAATAGGAGCCCAAAAGCAGGCGGGAGGGGCAGAGACAGCCAGTGCTCCCACAGTTAGGAGTGCCACGACCATAACAAATATGCCTAGGTGAGGCCCATGCAGAGCCCCTAGCTGTCGGTTCAGTCCCTGTGAGCCTCTATTCGCCCTGCTTAGTGAATTCTGTGGGCCGCGTTCTCCTGGTGCCCTTCAACCCTTGGTCTCACCCAGTTCTTGTTTTTCCTGGTATTGATGAAAATGCCATTCTTCTTCCCAGTCATATATGGGGACACGAGGCATTTACTACAGTTTTAAAACTTTATTCCTCTGGCAGTTTCTCTAATGAACTTTGCATTCTCTACATTTCGTAATCTCATTTTACTTTTTGCTCTAAATAAGTTGGTTGGGTCTGCTCCTCTTCCTTTAAGAAATCAAACCAAAACAAAAGTTACCCTCCAACTCTTCCTTTAAAGTTAACTTTTAGAAGTTCCCTTAAAAGTAAACATTTAGAAGAGAATCATTAACCAGTCTTTCCGTGAGGAACTTACACAAGCCTAAGCTTGCTTTGCCTTCTTTTACACCTGGCTATTTGCTGTCTGTCCTGGTTATCGCTATTAAGTTGCCCATGGCTTTAGCGTGTGCTTTCTTAGCAGGTGCAAGGACATTCAGCTATAGCCAAATCCCACTCATGGTAACCATAGAGGGACCTTCTCTCCCCTTTCTGGCTTTCCTCATGGGCCCATTCTGCTATGCTTTCATTCATGGCGGTCTCTTTATATATCACAAACCTGACAGATGTTTCTTTAAAGGGACTGTGAGGTTTTTATTCATTTTCTCATTAACTATTAGCACAATTAGCATCTCACTGTGGTCTGAACACTCAAACTCAAGTATTATGAAACTGACATTTAGCCATTGCCTCTGCAGCCTTCTTCCCAGTCTGGTCTGACTGATTTTGGTTTTAAGGAAGGAGGTAAGGCCATGGATTATTTTATCTCTGCTGGCATGAGAAAATATACTCAGTTTTTGTTAAAACTGGAAAATCACCCATCAGTCTCCTTCCAGAAGACTAAAAGTAGCTTTGTATACAATGGAACACAGGACATGGTAAAATACTATACTGTTTCATAGTCTATTATTATTCCCATGACTATTATAGTCATTTCTTAAGTACTATCTTACAAATAAAAGTAATAGCACTCAACATACATGGTGATGCAAATTGTGCACCTTTGTCTTATCTCCTGGGGTAAGTCACTTAATAGTCATACATAATACATACGATTTTTTTTTATTTTAAATTTGTAATCTGAAAATGTTGCTGTTCAAGTTGTGATATTTTCCCCCATGTGTTGTAACACGATAAATAAAAACCCAGAGACAGATATTGGGGTTCAAGTTTCAAGCTGACGATCAGAAAAGCAAAGCAGGCAAGCCAGGAGATCTTACCTCTACCTCAGGCTAAAGGGCGGTCCTGTCCTCAGCATGGCTGGAGAATAAATCTCTGAGACTAAATACTGAATTCCAAGTTCCTATCACACATACCTCTCTAGAGCTGGGATTAAAGGTGTGGGATCCCAAGGGCTGAAATCTCCTTTGTGTGAGCTGTGTCTCTTTTAGACTAATTCTAATGTAACCCTGGGTAGCCTTGAACTCAGAGATCCATCTGCCTTTGTCTCCTGAATCCTGGGATTAAAAGCATGTGCTACCACCACCTGGCTTCTATGGCTACCTAGCGTGGCTGCTGGAATCAAAGTGTGTATCACCACTGCCTCACTCGATGGCTGTGTGTGGCTAACTTTGCATTTTGATCTCCAGTGGCTTCATTAAATTATAAAAATAAATCCCTATAATGCATATATTACCTTTGGTTTGTATGCATGTTTGTGTGTGTGTAGATGCACATGTGTGCAGGTGTACATGAATGTGTACATGGGGAGGCCTGATGTTGGTGCTGGGAGTGTCCCTAACAACCTTATTAATTAACAATCTTATTAATTAAATCAGGGTCTCTCAGTGGGGCCCACAGCTAACCTGGCTCCTCTGCTTAGCAGACATGCTCTAGGGGTTCAGTGTCTCCCCTACACTGTAATTAAATGTCAGCCACTGCAGCTGATGTTTATGTGGGTTCTGGGGATCAAGAGTCTGGCCCCAAAGCTTGTGTGGCAAGAACTTTAACCACTGAACTGTCTTCCAAATCCTCGATTTGTACTGTTGATAAAATCCCTAAGCCTACCATTGCTAGAGAAGCCAGGACCCTGCTAATAGGAGTAAAATGAAAACAAAGATGTTCTTTGCAAACATCTTAAGATTATCAGTAGAAATCCTTTGATGGTCTGAAGACTTGAAAAACAGTGAGTGTACAGACTGATGTAGATGGTTACTGATGATTTCTCACCTTGCTTGTGGCTGCATGATGATCCTGAGACTTGGGAATGTTAGCTAAGTTACAAGAAGTTGCCGAAACAAATACTTGATTGGACTGGGAGAAGTGATATGGCTTAGGAGTGAGTAAGAGTCATTTCAAGGTGAGATGGGAACTTGAAAATCAGCGGGAAGCCAGACATGGAACTTAAAGCAGGAGTTGACAAGCATTATGGAAGAAAACATTTTTTTTTTTTTCAAGACACTTCAGACTGATTACAGGGGAGAATAGTAGAGTCCAGGGAGGAAGAAAAGGCAGAAATTGCAGTATTAAGTCAAAGATGAAAAATTGTCGACAGAAGTGTGAGGCTTTTTTCAATAGGAAGAAGGTATAAGTATTGGAATGCACCACCCCAACTGGCTCACCTCAGGGGAGCGAGGGGTCAGCCTAATGTCCTGCTAGCAGGCCTTTTCTGCTCCTTTCTGATAAGATGTGAAGCAGAGCTCCCTGACCAAAAGTCAAACACAGGGTCTTTGAAATTCACTTGCTGTTACTGGAATCTTCCGTGTCTACTTGTGTCTTTGGATGCAATTGAAGCTAGTCTCCAAGTTTCTGGATAATGCATTTTCTTTTGTAGCTGCAACTTATGTAAACATAACGAATATAAAAACGGTTGGAGGCTGATATTTTTAACTCCCCACATTCCTACCTAGAAACCAGTTCAGTTGGAGGCAAGACTTTAGCTCTAACACGGGAGGGGGAGAGTAAGATAATATTTTTTCTCCACTTAGACATTCAAAGTCATTTGCCCCCTTGAAATTTAGGAAAAAGAAAACTGAGACCCATAAAAGCTTTCATGTTTGTGTTTGCCTTAAGCCCAGCCACAACAGGCATGATTATTTTGAATCTATCCCATAATATCTCCAGACATGCCTACCACCACCAACCTACATCATCTTTCCTTGGTTCTTGTTACTACTAGTGTTGCTGACAGTGAAGATTTCCTTTTTTATAATAGCACCTGGCTATTATATTTACACTCCACTATCACTATTTTTCAGCCCCAGGAATTAAAATTCCTTTTGAACGTTTTAATACCTTGGTCTTACTTTTCATTTAAAACAGCCCTCTCTTAAATAAATAATTGATTTTACTTCTACCCCAAATCAATAAACACCGTCGCTGCTTAAATTCAGAATTAAAGTTTCTTTCCTTGAGAATACATGTCTACATGAAGTAGACATTTTTCCCCCCTTGGGTTAAACTTATACAGTGCTGTCCTCTGCATTTGTAAAATGTTCCAGTTATCTAATAAACACACATTCTTAGCCTTCATCTTCCCCAAGATCTGCTTCCAACCTACCCTTCCAATATTATTTCTTTTTGCTGCTTCCTACCTAAGCACGCACTTTCTGGGAAAAACAAAATTGTAGCCATATTCTTTGTCAGAGTCATGTTTCTTAAACTTTCCTTTCATAGCATTTGCCTTTCTCATTCTTTGTTCTGAGATGTTTATCAGCTACGTCTCTAACGGTGTTTATTTCTGCTACGTAATCTTCCTTTTTGGGCATCAGCTTCTGACTCTGGGTCCTAATGGTCCCCTCCAGGCCTGCTATCCCCTCTTTCCACAATCTGACCATTACCCTCCTTGTAATGAAGATATTAGTTTCCATTTTGGCAACTTTTCCTACAAGTGTTTTGCCTTGATATCCCAAATCATATGACATTTCCACCCCATGCTATGCATTTTCTTATGGCATGTGCTCCTGTACAAGATGTGCATGGCAAGTTGTTGCATCTTCTTGTTAATTTGTTAATTTAGACTTCCTGAAATATTTGTGTTTGCTTTTTCCATCTTTCAAACTTTCAGTTCATCCTTTGACTTGCCATTCAGACAGATATAACTTCCCGAAGCATTTCCTCTAACACCCCAAATGCAAATTAAGTGCCCATTTTCTGTGGACCTCCACCAGTGCTGCTGGCTTTAATGCTGTCCTGAAGATGCTTCTGCCATGAAAACCTGACATGACTGCTTCATACCTGTGAGTTTAATTCAGCCATGCACGAATTTGTGTCCTCAGCAGTTAACACAGTGCTATTTAGTAAGTGCTCACTTACAAGTTGGCTGCATAGAAACACATCTCAACTTATCCCTACATAACAGATGCTCCAAGTCTCACACATGACAATTTAGTACCTTCTAGGGGTAATCTCATGTTTTTCCGTTTCCATCTTTCTCCAATCTCAGAAGATCCCCAAACACACAAAACACACCCAGAGACACCATACAATTTGCCTCGGCATGATTTTAGATCACATTCTGTTCCAACTTGTAAGCTCTGTTAGGGAAAAAGTCATTCATCTTTTATCTCCTAATGTTTAGCACAGGAGTTTCACAAATGTTAGAAGTAAAATAAATATGGATAGGAAGAAATGTGTACACAATTACTTTATCCAATATGGAAAAAAAATGAATGAAACTGAGAGTTTGAGATTTTTGAAATAATCTAGCATTTTCATCTGCTGTAGTAGATGTTCAAGTTCTCAAAGAGGTTCTGTGGTGTTTTTACAGTCTCAGAACTAAGAAGGAAAGTTAGGCAAGAAAGCATGATTGTGACATAGTGCTGTTGGGTTTGTTTCAGACATTCTGTTTACTGTTCCATTGCTCTTTATTAGTTTTGTTGATGCTGTGGATGCTGAGTCAGTTTCCCAGTGATAATTCTAGAAACTAAATTATCATTGCTAAGATACTAGCAAAAAAAGGCATCCCTCTAACCCCTTTAAGATGTTTCCTCTGTGTAGTCATGGCTGTCCCAGAAGTAACTTTGTAGACCAGGCTGGCCTGAAGTCAGCAATCTGATTGCTTTTGCTTCCCAAGTCCTGGGATTAAAGGTGTGCACTGCCTGGCTACAATCATTTTTTTTTTCATTTTTGAAGACTATAACATCCTTGAAATTAAGTCAGTGTAAGGAAGATCTAGAGGAATTACAAAATGAGAGTTTATGATATACGATATTATATGTATTCATTTTCAGAAAGATTTGGTGCTACAGACCTTCCATCCCAGTTACTTGGGAGGTTGAGGCAGGAGGATAGCAACTCAGGTGTAGCCTGGATCACTTGAAACCTTGCCTCAAAATGAAAAGTAAAGTCAGGCTGGGGACGCAAGTTCACAGTAGAGTGTTTGCCTAGCATGTACGAGGCCCTAGCTTCCATCCGTGAATTTTCAAAGAAACAACAGAATTGTTGTCCTTTCTCAAAACACCTAAGTCAGAAGACACTGCAACGATGTTTGCTTTTATCCTCATTACTCATTAAAAGTTGATGGCATGTCAGCAAAAAATTATATCATCTTATACAAAGATAAAGCATGATGGGTATCTATTTTGAGTAAGCAGTCGTGTTTATAAAAAAAAAAATCAGTTTCTACTTCTTGACTTTTGTATTCTTTCCCCGTGTGTATTCCAGCCTGTATCAATATGCATGAAACTGGCTTATCATTACTGCCACTCAGGTGCATTGACTCCCACTGTTAGACACCCACAAGCCGTACTCACACAGGTCTTGGAAGTTAAAAGTACACGTGTGAACAGGACACTGTTTCATGGCCTGCAGAAGATTAGAGTCTCAGAAACGCCTGGAGCCTGGAACAGGTTGTAACTGCTTTCTGATGCTTTCTGTTTGAAAGGTGAATAAGATTTGTGGCCATCCGGTGAGAACCACCACACAGAGCCCCCGCTGCACTTTTGATCTGAGCAAAGAGAAGCATGGGATGAAGATCTCTGCGAGGAATGGCGAAGAGACACTTGCCGGCCGAAGAAAGTAAGACATTTGTTTTGCAGCCAGAGAGAGGGAGAGAGCGAGCGAGCGAGCAAGAGAGAAAGAGAGAGAGAGTGAGAGAGAGAGAGTAAGCCATTGACTCAGCAGGAGAATTGAGTGTGTTTATTACATAGACCCAGATGTAGTGTGGAAGAGAACATTTAAATACCGTTTCACTTTATTTAAAGTGTAGTGGGCCTACTGTACTGGAGAGAGAGTTCCTGGCTAAATGCTTGCCATGCTTGCAAAGGACCGGGGTTTGGTTCCCAGCACCCACTCAGACTGATCACAACCATCTACAGCTGCATTTTCAGGGCCTCTGAAACTCTTGCTGGCCTCCGCGGGTACCTGCACGTACATGGCACATACATAGGCAAACAGGCACATTTTTACCTTCAGAGAGTCTTACAATAAAACCTTAAGCATTAAATGCCAAGTACATTTTAACATCCATCCAGCCTGGTATAAACCTTATGACAGTGAAATCCTCAATGTGTTTTATTCACTACTGAAACTAAATGGATTCAGGTGAAAAGATATAGAATAGCGTTGAGCAGATCATTATCCTGTGTTTCTAACTGCCATACACCATTATTCAAATTATATAAATTACATAAATATCAATGGATATTATATATTATATTACATATCCTCAATTAATTAAGACAGACACATCACAAGCAATTCTCACACCACCCATTGTGAACAACCAGAAGGTCTATACACAGAAGTTCTGAGTAGGGCTTAATTTCCATAGTAATCTATTTCTGCGTATTGCCTGTGTATTATGGAGTTCCATTCATAAACTAGTTCTGAATTTCATCGCTCACTAGCTGCTTATTCTCCATTGTAGATTTCAGCTGGAATAGGGCAGCCTGTGTAGCCGTGGCGGGCGTCAGGGGACTCACTGTCTTACTTGTACTGTCTCATCTCACATTCCCTCTTGAGTTTGTTATGACATCTCTCTTTAGACGATGATGTATTGCTTCCATAAAATACCTTGAGACAAGACCAAGTGCTTTTTACGTTTTTAACTTCTAAATAATTTTGCATCCTTCATGATTTTTCTTTTCCAATCTTTATGAATGATCTGCTTCGTTTTCTCATTCTAACGTTATAAACCCTATTTTCAAAAGTTCGAAAAAAAAAATTAAGGAGGTGGGTACAAATGGGCAGATTTTCCCCGAAAAGAGAAAATCCAGTCTCCCTCTGACTTTTCATTAAGGAGTGTCCACCCCCCACCCCCCTGCGTTAACTAGCACAGAGTAAAAACCAACCTCCTGTGTGAGTTACCTTTCCATGGCTATCATGAAGACTCATGGGCCAAAGCAACTTACAGAAGAAAGTTGATTTTGGCGTTCAATTCCAAGTCCACCACGGCTGGACAGTGTAGTCCAAACACCAGTCATAGGTGCAGGCGCAGGAAGCTGAGCCACAAACACAACCACTGGGAATCGTACCACCCTATGAGATCTGAGTCCCCCACCCCAGGGAGGTACTTCCTCAATTGAGGACTGCACCTCCTGAACTTCCATAAATGTTACCACTGATTGGAGACCCCGTGTTCAGATACCGGAGCCTGCGCGGGACTTTGCTCACTCAAACCTCCGCTTTCCACTCCTTGGTGCCCACAGGCTTGTGGCCATTCATAACGCAAAGTGTCCAGCTTTAAAAGCCCCTTAGTCTTTGTCAGCATCAACACTTTTCAAAAGGCCAGAATCCAGAGTCTCTTCTGATACTCAAAGCAACAGAATCCAGAGTCTCTTCTGATACTCAAAGCAACAGAATCCAGAGTCTCTTCTGATACTCAAAGCAACAGAATCCAGAGTCTCTTCTGATACTCAAAGCAACCTCTTCATTTTGAGCCCTTGTAAAATCCAAAAAGAAAATTGTGTACTTCCTGTACACAATGGTAGGGAATACACATCCCTGTTCCAAAGTCGATGGCATAGTCGGGCAATACGAGACCAGAGCAAAGCCAGAATCCAACAGGGCAAGGACCAAATAATAACTCAGGGCCCAGGATCTAAGACTTGAGCTGTAAGAGATTCGCATGCTTATGTGTTAGCAGTTCTGCTTCCGTCAACGTCTCTCCCTTTGATTGCCTCCGTTCCCCGTGCCTGGCTTGGGCTGGCATCTCAGGGCACTGGCATCCCCAACGTCTTGGAGACCCCCCTCGAAACCTGGCTTTATTCTCTCCTGGTAGCCTCTCACGGCCTCCTCCTGGGGCCTTGCCACGTGCTGCTTGCTGGCTGTCTGAAACAGCAGAGGAAAACAGCCATGATCCATTTGCTCCTCTGCTCTTCATGCCGCTGCAGAGTTCTGCTGACGACCCTGCTAAGATCAGCTGTCAGTGTAGGGTAGATCTTGTACCTTTTGAATCACATTTGCAGCAGTTTTTATTTGTGTTGCTTTCTAAGACCCAATTTCAAATCCATGACCTTATGGTAGGGATTTGGGGGGGTGGGGCGGGTAGGGGCGACAACGTTGATCTTTCACACCACTATACCTGTTTCTAACATTATTACCAGTTCTTATCCACATTGAGATTCCTTGTTACCAGTTCACCAAGCCATCTGTTTTGCCGTAGTGTGGTGAGGGTTCTTATCCAAAATGCTCAAACACAATTAAGTATACGTCCAATTATATATGTTGTGATTTTGGGTTTTGATGCTATTTTGCAAGTATATGGTGTTGCGATAGATATGTATAGAAGCATAGTGTAAGGGAAGAGGATAAAGAAATAATCAAGATAAAACAAATAAGGAATGTGAACACTCAAGAGTCCCCAAGTTCACATTTGATAGCATGACCAGAAAGGAAGGCCTAACTTAAACTTCGTCTGGTACATAGTTATGTAGCATGTAAAATTAAAACTTACTGTGTAATGTTCTAAAGTTGAAGAACTTGGAAGCTGATTAGCTATGGGGTTTGTGCTCTGGAGCTCCAGGAAGACCGCTTTGAAGATGACCCCACGAGCTTCAACATGAAGGTTTAAGTGGGACTGGAGTGCTCTGAGTGTCGGTCACTGGCTTGGCTGTTTGCACGGGACATACGTTTTTCAGTATGACCACTCTATAGAGCTCAGAGTGTTTGAATAGCACCGTGAACAGCTGTAGCCTTCAAAGCTGTCCACAAATCACAAACCACCATTTCTACCATTAGAAACTGGTTACACAGCTCATCTTGTCACTGTAGAAAGTGATGCATGGTGGAGGGGACGGGAGGGTTGTTGGAGGTGGCTGTGAGAGTGAGCACACTCGTTTCTTCTAGCTAGAGAGGGTGGTAGAGTATTGTTAGTTAGGTGGAGATGGAGAACACTCACTTCTTAGTTATTGTGGAGGTTGGGCATCTTCTAGGTTGAGAGGGTGGTGGAGTACTGTTGGCTCTGTCAGTCTGGCATGGCCATAGGCTGCTGACAGGCCACGGTGACATGAGGAGTTTGGCACTGTGTGGACATGGGCTCAGAATGTGGGGCTAGGGAATCAGATCTAGAGATGTCTACATTTCTAAAAGGTACCCAGAAAAAGAGTCGCCAGAAAAAAAAATATAGAACAAGTATAAACTGAGTATCAACTTTGTAGTCCAAAGAGACCTAATCAATTTTCTCCTCTCCTTTCTCGTCTATATGCACACACACACACACACACACACACACACACACACACACACACACACACACACCCAAAAACTAACAAAGAAAACAACAGCAAAAGCACAAAACTTCTCCTGGAAAACGTGTGTGCATATCTGCTTTGTTTGCTCTAACATTTGACAGAGAACAATTTGCTTCTTGAACACGTCTCTGTATAACAATTGTGCTAGCGTCCTTTATGGACTGTGCACATATATCCGTTGGAAAGAAGAGAGTTAAGCTATAATGGTGGGATTTTATTCTAATTTTGGAGATGTAATTGCCTAGGTTCAGTCTGCTACTTTTCTCTTTTTATACTTCGCAAAAAACCAACCAACCAAATAAACAAAATCGAGCATACTGAAGACTGAATGTTACAGAGTTCTCGGAAGGGAAGGAAGGTTACTGCTCCTTTGATCTGCTGGAAAGCGGTAACCCTTTTCTCATTTTGGTCAGAAACTAAATCAGCACAGCTATAGGGACACTGCACTCATATAGTTGTCATCCCAGGCAGAGAGCTTCTTCCTGTGGCACTTCCTGTTCCCTGCTTGATTCCTTGGAGTTCACTGGTAGGAATAAGCTATTAGCAAGCTTAAGTCGGTGATAATTAGCTGTACATTATTATTTCAAAGTGGTGTGGCTGTGCCAATTAAGTGGGTAATTAGGAAAACCCCAGGACAATAAATTGAGACACAGCCTCAACACCAGGGTCCCATCTGCTTGCCAGCACGTTTTCCAATTACCCAAGTTTCTCAGAGCAGAACATGTGATGAAGAGATTGACTACATATACCCTGTGTGTTTGGGTGAGTGAGACTGTCCTAGTTGCTTAGCAAAAATTAGATACATTGTGTCACTAGGATTTTAGTGCCCAAGTAGGAATAGGAGGACCTATTGTACATGGTATATATTTAAATATGATTCTTTAAAAAAATTCTTATTGGAGCATAACTGGAATATCATGCCAAGAATATCCATTTTAAAATTGTGTTTATTAAATTATAATTTGGATGAGACTTCATCACTTGGATTATGAACAGTTACACTTATTAAGAATAGAAATTAACGTGGACTGTTGACATGCAGTGTTTAGAGAGACCAATTGTGTTGATTGAAGATGCAATTGTTAACTAAAGTAAATCCTATCCAGCCAATATATATATATACACACAAACCCAATTAATTAAGTGGAGGAAAAAGTTTACACATACTAAATAAGAACAGTAAATCTTATTAGTTTATTTATCAAGATAAATAAAATAGATTTGCATTAGATGGGTCAGTTACTTAAAACATTTGAGTTTATAATTACTGAATAAAATATTATAAAACTTTATTAATGAAATAAAAATGAGTGAAACTTTAATTCTATATAGCAAACTGGCTGTATATGATACTTTAAGTGGTAAATCAATCTTAAGATACACTGGGCTGAAGATAATATTGGAAATGTAAGCATTCTATGGATGAATATATACACAGCTCAGAATAAAAGAAGAATTTACTATCTCTTGTAATAATAAAGAAAGCAATTTACAATCTGTTTCCTAAAAGGAAGTAAGTCCTTTGAGGTGTCATTATTATTTATTACCTGAAAGTTTAATTTAGTGAAATAAAGGTCATGCTCTTTGAGTGAGAAAATCTTTGTTTAATTGAAAACAGCACTTAGCCAGTGGTGAGATTTAGTAAGTGCTTCCAGGGCAAGCCAGGCCTCAACAGAGCTTTAGCCAGGGTGCCAGAGGTGAGAAGCAGGCTTGAGTCAAGACCTATATGAGTAATGAAGATGAGGAACTTCAGGGGGTCAAACCTCAGGCTTCCAGGAAGCAACTAAAGCCAGAAGGCAGAACAAACAAAAGGCAAGCACTTCAGCTCCTGGTTCCTAACCTTTGGGGATCATGTATCCCACAGAGAGCTGATAAAGCATCCCCAGAGACCGGCTCAGAAAGAAGTACAGGAGAGTCCTGCTGCCTTAGAAAGCAATTTACTTCAGCTCAAACAAACTAGTATTCGAAGAAAGATGTCCTTTTAAAAATACTGCCTTTTATTTTCTCTTTGATTGTGGGAAACCTCACAGATCTTAATTTAATGCCAGGCTGCAGATAACTAAGCACCTCTGGCCTCAAAGGAGAGAAATAGTGGCAAGTAGTTGATATGAATCCTCGCTGAAATTAGAATTGCTCTTTGATGTGGCTATTTACATGCCTGTTTAATATCTGATAGATTTTCATTTTGTTGTTGTTTTGATAGACAAGTACTAGAAGTTGTAGAAAACTGTGAAGCTATCCCTGCTGAGGTAGAATTCTCATAGTTTGCTTGTTTTGATGACTATAGGCTTATGTCAAGAACCACCACAAATATTATGTTTTCATGTTCCATTAATACTTTCCTAAGCATTGTTCATTGTGTTCATCTGGGGCATCTGTAATAACGCACTTGCCATTTTTAGAATTAAATGAGTGAAAACAAATTTTCACATATTTCACACTACAGAAAGAATAAAAATAATAATACTTCAAACCATGGAAAGAAAGCCCTTTACATTGTGCCGATTTCAAACTCTCCAGAAAAAATCTATTCCTAAGTAATTGCTTTCTCAGGTATACCTGGGGCTTTCAGTGGCATTTATAATGTTGGGTTATCTCATTTGTGAGGCTCAAAATATCCCCCTGCAAGGAAACCACACTGTGAGTGAAATTCTTGCCAAATGGCATACCTGAAAGTTCTTTGATTTTCCTCCCCTTCCTTTCTTTCCCATTGCCTCCCTTCATCCCTTCTTCCCTTCATTTCTCTCTTCTTTCTACCCCAGAGAGGTGAATATTCATTCCTTCTATTCATTTTCCTGAGAAAATCAACAAACAGCTGCAGTTTTGAAAAGAAATCCAAATTAAATTCCCACTTTTCCACTTATTTTTTAAATGGGTGACTGTTCGAGTTCATACCATGTTGAAGCAGATGGTTTTTATGAATATATGTCACTTCAGGATTTTTTTTTCTTACACAGCCTGTTAGAGGTACATAAGGTAATAGAAGAAGCTCTTTCATGTTCTCACATAGAAACGTTATTTGTATTTGACAAATCAACATCCTCCAAACATTTAGGCTCCATGTTCTATTTTGTTGGGTATGGTAAAGAATATTCCTAACATTGTACATCTGTCAACTGCCCTTCAAAATGTTTAAAGACACATACATGCATCAGGGAAACAGAATAGGAGGTATCAATGGTGATAGAAAAGCATTGTTCTTCATTGCCCGTCTAAAGGCAATAACAGAGTTGTACTTTTCCCAAATGTCTTTAAAATAGTAACATAAATATGTGTCTGGAGAAGAGTTGTATCATTTGATAGAGACAGTCCTATTATTAATGTGTGTATTTACTCACTAACTTTCCATCTCTAAGACAGTAGTCAGAGCAGTGTTCCCTGGCGTCTTTAGAATCACAGGGGGACAAACGGAGTTTTGAAAGGAGTTTCAGGGTAATTCTTCGTGTTTAGACTCACATTGGTAGAGTTAATAGACATGTCAAGCCTCTTTCTAAAAAAATATGACTCCTCTTTGATGACTTTTGAAATCAATAGAACAAAGGCTTTTCTCTTGCTATATTGGCTTTACCTTCTACTACCAAGAGCCTTGTTATACATCAAATATTACAACTTTGGGATCTTGTAAATTGAAGAGGCTCATTGGATTTATAACCGTTGTCTTATCTAGCTTTG